GTTCGAGATATAAACTTGGCGTACTTCTGAACCCCTCCTAAAAGTTAAACTTTTAGCCTAGATATTATAGTTCCTATAGAAACCCAAAAAGTTAAAGTCTAAAGAGCCAACCAGAAGAACGCCAAGTAAAGGGGCTACGGTAAGTACCCAAAAGAGGTTGAAGGTGACCCACTCTACGACTACTGAACCCTAAACCCTAAATCCTAAACCCGATTACCGATAACCCTAAATAAACCCTATAACCCGAAATCCTGAACCCTAAACCCTAAATCGTAAACGCGATACACCTGTACGAATACACCCAAAAAGATTCAAGGTTACCTACTCTACTAAGTACTCTACTACTTGTAATACGGAACTCTTATGGAACCATTCAGGGCTGCGATAGAAGTCCGGAACGTCTAAAGTTTACGCCTTGGGACTTAAGTGTTTGGGGCCTGGAGGCTTGTGGCGTAAACAGCCTCAAACATGGATCCCTACACCCTAAACCTCGAACCCTGAACACTGAAGCCCCATAACCCCGAAGCCTAAAAAGTTGGAACCCTTCAGCAGGTTAGGAAAGGCTGGAACATGAGCTTAGGATGAAGAGTGATGGGTGGTGTATGCTCCACTTTAAAACAGAAGTGATACAGCTGCTTCAACTTCCAAGCTTCGAGTGAAATCCCTAAACCCCCAAATCCCGAAAGGTCCTACACTGTGCATGAACCTTCAAGCTCTGGCCTGTTGTAGGAGGTCATCACCAGCTCTGGTGCAGATTCCCGGACGATCACTGCCCAGGCCCTGGCTCCGGATCAATGGTAAAAAAGAGTTTAGGGTCTTTTAGGGCTAGTTGGACGGGCGTTCAGAATTGTGAAAGGGTGTTGGTTTTGGGATTGTTGTTATGTGATTTCACAAGGACTACGAAGCATAAAGGGGCAACGTTGCTATGTGGTATTTACTCAGACGCCTTATTAGGGTTTGGAGCCAAGGTCTTGGGTTCTAGATTCTAGATGATTAATTACCTAGTAGAATAAGATCGGTCCTGACTAGGATGATGACTGACAACAACCACAAGATAGTCATAGCGAGCATCAGCAGAAGCTGCAAGCATAGTCGTATCATCTACTGCTACTGCCGCTGCTGTCGCTGCCGCTCCGGCAGCTGAAGCTGCTACTGCTGCTGCCACTGCCACTGCGGCGACGAGGACGACGACCAGGAGGACGACGACAACGACTACTACCACTACTGCTGCTGCTGGTGCTACTGCTACGATTGTACTTGCTTGCTTACTTACTTGCTGACTGACTTGCTTATTACTGCCTGCAAACCTACCATCCTACCAACTTACCTACCTAGCTACCACCTACCTATCGAACGAACCAAGTACTAGCTAGCTAGCTGACTGGCTGACTACGTAGCTATATTATATAACTCACGAGCTAAGAACCTAGCTAGCTAGCCAACTAGCTGTCGCGTCAGGCCTTTACAGCGCTGCCCTTTGAGGCTATCATATAGGCTTTCCTTTCAGGCACCATAAGGATACCTAGATGATGAGTTTAAGGCTTTACTGTGCTTTGGGGGACTTGTTTTTGGTTTCGTTTAACTACAACATGAACATCACAACGGCGCCTTCGAAAAAGGACTCACACTCGCATGAATCCAGTTCAGACCCGCCAACTCCACTTCTCTGCCGAATCAGACTTTTTTTAAACATCCTTTTCTGGGCTTAGGAGTAACCCGAGAGAACCAAGTATAAGCCTGTATTTTAGTAGTGGTTTACTAAAAGCCGGTCCGCCCACAAAAGTATTGAAGCATGGTACTCCTGAACCAGTTTTGTAATACTGAGGCGGCACAGTCTGTTTCTTTCGGAAGGCCTGAGGTAAACATCGTGCAACGTCTGCTCGTCCATCTCAGCACTCACCCACCACCTTCGAGGGTTTGAGGAGTCGGGGGATGATGGAGGGCTTAAGGCTTAGGGTTTAGGGTTTGGGGTTTAGGGTTTAGGACTGAACCCGGACTCTCAACCACAAGACATGGGACAGGCGTTTCCTTAACTGTTGCTGCAGCATTGATTTGATGAGTGCTTGGCGCGTACGTTCGGGTTCCAAGGCTCAGGACTGTAGGTTCTAGCTTTGCCCACCCTTGCATGTCAGCGTCTAGACTCCGGCTGCCTCTGACTCACCCCCCTTAACCCCCAAACCCCCTAAACCCTAAACCCCAAACCCTCAACCGTACCCCAAACCCCAAACCCTAAACCATACCGCAAACCCCAAACCCGACACCCCAAGCCCAAGCCCCAAACCTTCTGATTCACCCTCACCGGCGACCAGAAAGAGGAGGCATGGGAAGCTGGGACTTCAAGGGTTTAGGGTTTAGGGGTTAGGGGTTTAGGGTTTAGGGTTTAGGGTTTAGGGTTTAGGGTTTAGGGTTTAGGGTTTAGGGTTTAGGGTTTAGGGTTTAAGGTTGAGAGCCCTGGCCTGCTAAAGGTAATTTAGGGGCCTAAATAATTGCCAATATTATTTCTTGGGGTTCCTTGCGATACTTACACTATGAAGGAGCCCGAAGCCCAATTCTAATCATTAAGGCCCCTATATTAGGATCTATAAGGGGGTACTGTTGATTTGCTAATCATTCGACCTCCGTTAAAGTACCACAACCGACTTTTTTGTAGGTTCTTATGCTAAGGTTTAGCACAGAATTGATAGGGACCCTACCAACAAGTAGGTTTGAGGTCTATGCTACATTGCTGACGCATGCCTGGTGTTTTCGATGTTGTTGGCCAGGAAATGCTTCGCCGTCGCCATCACTTTGCCCTCATGCCTTGCTGATCCGGGAAAGCATGCAAGGCCGGAAGTTAGACCCTAAAGCCTAAACCCTAAGGAAGAGGTGGAGAGACCACAAACCTCCTCGGCTGGGCTGCGGATGCCAAGCTCAAGTTTCAGAACAGAAACACCACACTCCACTGCCCTCTGCAGGTGAGCAAACCCAGATTGTTGGGTTTAGGGTTTAGGGTTTAGGGTTTTAGGGTTTAGGGTTAGGACAGCATAACCCAAACCAAAACCCAAAATCGATGACAATCACTATCACAACCCAACTCAAGCAACACATCAATCACCAACGGCGTCTCGGCTGCTGGACCCCTCGGACCACGGCAGCACCCATCTTACCGCTGAAGAAGGGATCCTCTGCAGGATTACAGTTTGGGGCTTTATGGGTTTAGGGCTTAGGGCCTACAAGGCCTTCCCACTGAAGTTTAGGGTTTAGGGTTCAGGGCCTACAAGGCCTTCCCACTGAGGTTTAGGGTTTAGGGTTTAGGGCCTATGAGGTCCCACTGAAGTTTAGGGTCTAGGGCTGAGGGTCTTCCAATTGAGTTTTGGGGTTTAGGGTCTAATAAGATCCTCTCCATGATTGGAAGACGGGAAGGTTGTGATGACAAGACAGTCATGGGCTTCGTTTGTCTAATGTCTAGACTTGTCTTTGGGCTTCGTATGATCTCCATTTTCGGTAGGTAGGTTGCGGCTTCAGGGCGGAGGTTTTTTTTGCCTGAGTCTGGCCCGCCCCGGCTTGCTTTCCTAAGTCTGGCTCCCCGGCTTGGGCTGCAAACACAAACTGATCTGTACGGACTTGTTTTGCTTGTGTTTTGCATCAAGCTATTGGGGAATTGCCATTTGCTACTACCACTACAATTACTACAGTACAACTTTTACAACCACGACCACCACCAGCCCCAACAACGTAACCCGAGCGCGACACCAGGCAAAGCACAAGCAAAATAAGAGCGTGCACATTGTACCTAAACCCTAAACCCTAAACCCTAAACCGTGTAGTTTCTGAATAACTTGATGCAAAACACAAGCAATGGGGACCAGGGGACCAGGGACCGGGGGACCATGGGACCAGGCCGGACCTACCAAGGCCCCGCAGACCGGGCCCGACCTAGGAAAAAAAACCGGGACCCACGGTTGCGGTGCACCAAAAAAACAGGTTCGGGTAGTTTAAGGTAAGGTTTCGGGTTTGACTAGGCTGGCCCTTGAAAGTCTCTGAAAGAACACTCGACAGTAAGATTCTCTTGGGCAAAAACAGTCGGTTTAAGGTTTAGGGTTTAGAGTTAATAAAAAAAGGGACAAGATGAGAATGTCACAACGGCCTTCCTAGGGGTGCTTACCCCCTAAACCCTAAACAATAAACCCTAAACCCTAAACCCTAAACCCCCGGTCCTCGCCGTAGCTCTCTTGGGCCCTGCCCCAGTTAAGCCAGGGTAGGATGTTGATGGTGGGCAGCAGCGCCGCATGAACGTCCAACTGGGCACCGATGTCCCCTGACGGTTTAGGGTTTAGGGTTTAGGGTTTAGGGTTTAGGGATTAGGGATTCCGGGGCGGGAAATCTACAAACCCGGTGCCCCAAAGCCCAAAACCCGACTACCTTAAACCCTAAACCCTAAGCCCGGTACAGTGAAGCCCAAAACCGAGCCCCTTAAACCCTAAACCCCACAAACCCACTCCACTAAACCTTTAGGGGAATGGCCTCCTAGTCTTGGACCAGTGTGCAAGTCCCGTAACACGGGCCCAAGGCAAAACCGGGCCATCATGATGGCAAGCGGCCCCCCTTCTCTCCATCCTGCAATCGCATTCCCTTCCCCGCCACTCACACCTAAACCCTAAACCCCATGAGCCCTAGTATAAACCCCAAACCCTAAGCCCCTAAACCCTAAGCCACCCTAAACCCAAAGCCCGAAGCTCCAGCGGCCTGCTTTCAAATCAACTTTGGGAAAAAGTGTCTACGATTCAATACTTTTTGGGCCGGGCTTCCTCAACGGTCTAAGGGCTCTGACCAAAGGTAGAAGGCTCTGTGGGGGGTTTAGGTTTGGGGCTCTTGTTGAGTCATCGGTCCCCGGCTTAGGTAGTTCATGGATTAGTATTTAGCTATAGTATGTGAGTGTTAGGGTTTGGGTGGAGGGTTTCTGCTGTTAGCTTCGGGGTAAAGGGCTTAGCATACTTGGAGGTTCATGGGTAGTTATAACTGGGGTTATAAGTCTATTAGTATGGCAGTATGGGTTACAACTTTAAACCCATCACCTGAGCTTAAGCCCAAATAGCCTACCTTTTCAATTTTTCAGGACTTGCAAGGAAATCATAATAGGAAACCCTGCTGAATCCTGAAGAAGTATGTTTTATCGGGTCCTGATATACCCCAAACCCTGAACTACTAAACCCTAAACCTCCAAACTGCCTTCAGACTCGGGTCCCTTCCTAACCCAAGTATCCAGAGGCTCAAAAGTTTAGGGTTTATAAAGGCCATAAAACTTCAAATATACAGAAGTCCACAATTGAAATGCCACCCTGCATGAAACCCTTCAACTCTGAAACCCGAGATTTCTATCTACTACATCCCCAACTCGTGTGAAACCTTGGAAGGATAAACCTATTTGGACTAGCTTCTGCCGGTGGCGTAAGGCGTATGCTTTCGTGATACTTTTCGAATACCCTACGGTAAAACACAACAAAACATTGCGAGCTACTCATGCACAAATAATGACTGTTTCCTAAACCCTATCACCCCCCAATACCCTAAACCCTAAACCCTAAACCCTAAACCCTAAACCCTATCACCCCCCAACCCTATCCTGCATTCCAAACCCTCAGCCCGAAAACCCAAACCCCGCACCCTAACCCTAAACTCCAAACCCCCCAGTGACCCTCAACCGCTAAATCCTCCCTAAAGTGCGATGTAGGCCTATCGCGCGGCCGATGGCTTCCTCCAACCTTTGAAGCTTCGCGGTTTCAAGCTTCGGGATTGCATAAGATACATAGGGCTTAGGGTTTAGAGAAATTAAGTCATATCCTAAACCCTAAACCCTGAACCCTATATAGACCCTAAACCCTATGATATAACTCTGAAGCACCGTATATCTACAAGACCGCTTGTGAGAAAAAAAGAGATACAACACCCTGACTATCGAAGCAAAATAACTAGCAACACTCTTCGCTACGTTTCCTGTGCAAGTTAAGGGTCTACTTGGAGGCTCATGGGTAGTTATAAGTGGGTTATGGGTACTTGGAGGGTCGGGGGACTTAGTAAGCGGGTACTAAGTAGAATTATAAGTACTCTAGTGGCGATCCTAATTTGGGTCATGATACATAGAACTCTAGAAAATAACTACTTACTAAGTCCCCCGACCCTCTAAGCAGGGTAACTATACTTCTAGCCCATCCTAGGGGACTTGTAACCCCACTTATAACTACCCTTGAACCTCCAAGTACAAGTATGGCGTAACACACCCAAGGTTTGCTGTGACTGTTGGGGTTTAGGGTTTAGGGTTTAGGGTTCAGGGTTTTAGGGTTTAGGGTTTAGGGTTTAGGTTTTAGGGTTTAGGGGTGTTGCTCCAAGCAGGCTCTACTCCAGAAACATATTCTATCGGCTTTCTATCGGTTTTGGTCAGAATTCTCATATGCTGCTGTAGGGCGATTGCAAAACGCAATCGGCTTGGCTACCTGCTGTTGTGGCTTTAATTTGTTGCTGCTTTGTCGCTGTCCCGCGGCTGGGAAAACCAAGCCAGGCGTTCCCAAAAAGATTGCACAGCGCACCAAACAAACTGCACAACATCATGCGCTGCACAATGTACAGTGTTTATCGGTTTTCTCTTGCTTCCTCGAACTGCCTTGTTTTTTGATCGACGAGTGCGTTGAAGAGCTAAGCTCGAGGACACTAACATGCACATGTAAAACCGAGATGCAGAGCTGCACGTAGGCTCCATAGTAGGTCCTTTTTGTGGTTTGTTTTAGGATCCTATAGAAGGCAATCCCAAAACAAGAACTACTATGGAGCCTATGGGTCGACCTCAACAAGATGCACATGTTGCTCAAGCTTCATGCGGGCAGCGGGCAAGAGCTGTCCGAAACTGCCAGCTGACAGGATTCGTATTCTGGTTTAGGGTTTAGGGTTTAGGGTTTATAGGGTTTAGGGTTTAGGGTTTAAGGATTTGACAAACGACCTGGTGACAAGTAGCCTGTTCCATTTACAGCACCCCAACCACCTCGACCCCGCGTATTCGCAGCATTAATGGTGATAACCAAAGAAACGCTTATAAGTCTTACCGAATGAAATCCTACAAGAACCTTTACAAAATCACTACTAAGCGCCTGCTCCCGTGGTCCGAGTCCCAATGAACGAAGCCTTAAACGAAGAAAACTAAACCAAGCAGCAAAACCTGAAGCCCTAAAGCTGCAAAGCCCTAAAGCCTCAATCCCTAAAACCTTACCGCCCTCTAACCCTAAAGCCCGAAAGCCCTAAGACCCCAAACGGCCAAACCACCACCTGTTTGGGCTTTTAAGCTGTTGGAGACCTGCTTTTTCGGAACCCTTATCATTACACCGTAAAGGAACCCGATGTAGGAACCCCTAAACCCTAAACCCTAAACCCTAAACCCTAAACCCCCCTTGCAGAAACCCTGAGTGGAGACCGTGAAAAGCCGAGCAGCTCCACATTCCAGGTGGCGCCTCGCAGCACCTGCCAGGCTCTTTAGCGCTCAGGGTTTCGGGTTTGGGGCTTATAGGGTTTAGGGTTTAGGGTTTTAGGGTTTAGGGTTTTAGGGTTTAGGGTTTTAGGGCTTAGGGTTTTAGGGTTTTACGGTTTGGGGTTTAGGGCTTTAGAGTTTAGGGTTTTAGGGTTTAGGGTTTAGGGTTTCGGGTGTAGGGCTTAGAGTTTTAGGGTTTAGAGTTTCCCTAAACCCTAGACCCTTCATCCTACAGTCCAAAACCCGAACCCTGACCCCCAACCCTGATCCCTAAACTCAAACTCCTGAACCATAAACCCAAAATAAACTCGAACTCCTGAACCATAAGCCCTAAACTCAAACTCCTAAGCCATAGACTCTAGCCTCAAACTCCTGAACCACAGACCCTAAACTCGAACTCCTATACCCCTCCTGCGAGGGAAAAGATGGCGAAGAGCCATCCTCTGGGCAAGGGCTGCCGAAAGGCATCCCTCCTTGACCTCAGATAGGGGGTTTAGGCTTTGGATAGGTCCACAAAGGTACTGGGAGATGTGACACCTCATGGGGGGTGGCTCTACGGGGCCTCACGAGGGTTCATGGGGCTGTCAGGATTTAGAGCTGGGGGCTTGGAGTGTAGGGCTTGTCGCAACGCTTACAACGCTCTGAGCGCTTTCGGGGGGGGGCCGGGGGGTTCCAGTCAAGCCTCAAAGACCCTAAACCCTAAACCCTTCAAAGGCACCGGTACAGAAGCCCTTAAAGAAACCCGAAAGTAACCTCCAAAGGAACCCGTGGGTACGCACACCATTGCATGAAACCTTATGATAATTCTTCTACAACCACTCTCAAATCTTTCAAAAACCCTGAATCCCTAAGCACAAAACCCCAACCCGCA